CATGCTCTGTCTCTCTCTGTCTCTCTAAATAAATGTTTTAAAAAAAAATTTTTTTTAAAAAGAAATTAGTCAGTTGAAGAATAAAGACTGGAAAAAAATGCAGGGTATTTAAGTATAAAACAATATCAAGCAGTTCAAAATGTAGTTGGGGTCCTAAAGAGAGAGAAAGAGAGTATTTAAAGAGGGGTGCCTGGGTGGCTCAGTTGGTTAAGCATCCAACTCTTGATTTCGGGTCAGGTCATGATCCCAGGGTCGTGAGATCAAGCCCCTGCATCAGGCTCCATACTGGGCGTGGAGCCTGCTTAAGAGTGTGTCTCTCTCTGCCCTTCCCATGCTCAGGTGCATGCACGTGCGCGTGCTTGCGTGCTTGCTCTCTCTCTCTCAAAGAAGGGGGCGGGGGTGCATTTAAAGAACTAATGGCCAGAAACTTCCCAAATTTGGTGGAAAATGTTAATTTACAGATCCAAGAAGCTTAACCCCAAGTAGGGTAAACACAAACTCTACTGAGGTTCATATCATCAAACTACTAAAAGATGAAGATGAAAAAATCTTGAAAGCAGCAAGAGAAAAATGATACAGGGGAATGTTGCAGACTTTGAATCTGGAGCTCTCTCTTGTCCAGCAAGAGATTGGATGCAGAATTGAATATGAGAGAAGCTAATGTCCAGGAGGAGACAAGAGCCCCGAACAGGGGTTTTGCCTCTGTATGTATTGATCTCTCAAGGTTTTACATACATGGTGAATGTGCAGAAACAAACAATAAGATAGTGACCATTAATTTGTAAGAAGCAAAGGGTTTGGGGGGCAAGTGACGGTAGAAGTTGAGATTAAAGCACAATGATATATTGGCACCAGATGCCAGATGGACAGTGTTTCTCTGTGGGCGATACAGCCATGTAGCTGTTCTCTCCAAAGTGTAAGATTGCTGGAGCGCGCTGCCTCCAGGCTAACAAGGCACCTTTCTACTAGCTAACCTTGGGCACTTTCGCCCCGTAGTGGCTTTGTCCCTCTATTCTCAGAGGCTTCTGTCCTGTGGAGGTGGCTTTTCTCCCTAAGCCTTGTTTTACTTAGTGACTAACCTTGGGCACTTTTGCCCCATAGTGGCTTTCTGCCCTAAGCCTTGTTAACCCACTGGTGCAAGTGTACAGAATTCTTAAGCTTATTTTCCACAGGGGAACAATGCAAAATAATGGTCGTTTAACAGGGTTGCAGGTACATAATAAACATACAGAGACTTAAAGTATTTCTTTAAACTGACATTTAGAATACAATACCAATTACAATCACTCAAAAAATGAAATACTTAGATGTAAGTCTAACAAAACATATATAGGTCTTACATGCTGAAAACTATAAAATGCTAATCAAAGAAATCAAATATCTACATAGAGAGGCATACCAAGTTTATAGATTAGAAGACTCAAAATAGTAGATATGTCAGTTCTCTCCACACTGATACACAGCTTTAACATATATCCCAACAAGATTTTTTGTAGATTTTATATGGAAAGGCAAAAGTACTTAGAATAGCTAAAACAATTTTGAAAAAGAATAAAATGGAAAGAATCAGTCTGATTTCAAAGTTTATTATATAGCTATACTAACCAAGACTGTGTGGTATGGGCAGAGGTATAGACACATATCAATAGAAAAGAGCAGAAAACTCAGACATAGACCAACACCAATATGCCCAAGTAATTTTTTTACAAAGATCCAAGAGCACGTCAGCAAAGATCGCTTTTTCAACAAATAGTTCTACAGCAATCGGATATCCATAGATTTAAAAAACATTTTTTTAATGTTTATTTTTGAGAGAGAGACAGAGACAGAGCAGGGGAGGGGCAGAGAGAGAGAGGGAGACACAGAATCTGAAGCAGACTCCAGGCTCTGAGCTGTCAGCACAGAGCCCAGTGTGGGGCTTGAACTCAGGAACCACAAGATCGTGACCTGAGCCAAAGTCAGACATTTAACTGACTGAGCCACGCAGGCACCCCTTCATAGATTTTTTAAAAAATGAATCTCAATATAAATCTCACATCTTACACAAAAATTAACTCAAACGGTACAACTTTACAACTTAGGGAGAAGGAAACATAGGAAGTCTTAGGAGGGCTCTAGGGCTAAGCAAAGAGTTCATGGATTTGACACCAAACATATAAAAGGAAAAATTGATAAAGTAGACTTCATCCACACCACAAACTTCTGCTCTGGGAAAGACCCTGCTCAGGGTGAAAAGACAAATTACAGACTGGGGGGAAATATTTGTAAACCACAGATCTGAGAAAAAACTAGTATCTAAAATATAAAAACTTTCAAAGCAGAGTTAAAAACAAAAAAAGTCCAATTAGAAAATAGGCAAAAGACATGGAGATATTCATTGCAGAGCATATGTAGATTGCTATGAAGTAGGTGGAAAGATGTTTTAACATCCTAAAACGTGAGACAAATGCAATTAAAACTATGAGATACCACTATACACGTATTAGAATGGCTAACATAAATAAGCGACACCAAATCCTAGCAAGGATGCAGAGAAGCTAGATTACTCATACATTGCTGGTTAAAATGTAGAATAGTAATTCGGGAACACATTTAGCACTTTCTTTAAAAACTAAACCTGCAACAACCACACAACCCAGCAACTGCCTTCCTCGGCATTCATGCCAGAGAAAAGAGTTGGGTTCACAGAAAACTTGTACACTGACGTTTGTAGCAGTTTTATTCATAGTGGCCCAAATTGGAAATAACCCAGATACCCTTTAGTGAATGAATGGTTACGGGGTCGCACAGGTACAGAATACTACTGAGTAATAAAAATGAACGAAATGAATGAACTGTCGCTAAAACAGCCTGGGTGAATCTCCAGAAAATTATGCTGAGTGAAAAAAGCCAATCTGCAAAGGTTCCATACTATCTGATTCTATTTCTATTACATTTTTGAACTGACAGAATGGAAACGGAAAACAGATTTGTGGTTGCTAGGTGGTTAAAGAGGAGTCAGAGGGGAGAGGGGGGGAAGTGGGCTGTGCAAGGGCATTGTGAGGGATCCTTGTAGTGATGGAAATATTCTGTATCTTGACCGTATCAGTGTCAATACCCTGGTTGTGCTATTGTACTATAAATTTGCAAGATGTTTCCATTGGGGAAAGCTGGGGAAAGGGTGTGTGGGATGTCTCTGTAATTTCTTATACCACATGTGAATCTACAATACCTCAAAATGTTTAATTAGAAAGGAAAAGTAATTGCTTTCTTCCCACCTTTCTAGTTTGTACCAGAAGAATAGTGGAATGGTATATTTAAACCACAGTAGACACTTTTCAGCCTCTTGACTTGCAAACTACCACCAAACCTCAGCCAGGCGCATGTTTTTCCAGACTGTGGGGTTTTTTAATGGCATCCAGCTAATAATGAAAAAATAATTTCTCGTTCTGGACTGCCCTTATCATAAAGAGGCAATAATGATGATGGTCACAGGATGTGGTGTTGATGATAGTGACAAAAAGTTCAAGATAAAAGTACAAGTACCTCGTACTGTTTCTTTCTTTTTTACCACATCTCCGGAAGTCTGATAATGTTAACCATTTCTTTTAAAAAGGCATGTTTATTTCTCATCTGCAACTTATGGTAAGAAAGAGCAAAATTGGTTTAGGCTAAAGTGATAAAATTAAAAGTGAAAGTGAGTCATTTAAAACAAGGTCACGCTTGTTGTGTGCAGCCAGCCTTCACTTCTTCCAGTGATTGTGCCTCCCTGCCTATTCCGGGGCCACGATACAGTGTCGGTCACCTTGACATCATCAACCAGTTCCACTCCACAGCCAGTCGTTGCATTTGTCGTGCTGTAGGCATCGAAACTAAGGACAATAGAAATGGGCCTCAGTGCTCCCTCCTCTCCCCACTGCCTCTCTTTTAATCCGGCCCGGTAAACTGAAGTGAACTTTCAAATGAGTAAGATAGAACCTCTTCCTTCTTCATACACTTGCTCCAGCTTTTCCATCTATGAAAATGGCAAGACTCATAACCCTTAGTTCTCCCAAGTCAAAAGCTTCCTAGTGAGCCTCTCCTTGGTTGTTAATGACCTCTTCCAACAATGCTAAGTTATAGTGAACATGTGTAATTAAAGAGCTAAAACTTGGAGCTATATCCCATTCACTCGATATCCAGGCAAAGGTCATTTTGAGAAGAAAATTAAGTCAGCATGACCCAATATACCTCATATTCTTATTGTTAATACCTTTAATCACTGTCTTAAAGAATCTAGCCCACAGAGGGCCACCTGGGTGGCTCAGTCGGTTAAAGTGTCTGACTCTTGGTTTTGGCTCAGGTCATGATCTCATGGTTTTGTGGGTTCAAGCCCGGCATCAGGCTCTGTGCTGCCAGCATGGAGCCTGCTTGGGATTCTCTCTCTCTGTCCCTCTCTCTCTGCCCCTCCCCAACTCATACTGTCTCTGTCTCTCTCAAAATTAATAAATAAACTTTAAAAAAAAAAAAAAGACTAGATTTATGTGATTTTCCTGCATTTAGTTTTTGTTCTTTGTCTGCTTTCAAAAAGGAAGGAAACTTTTTAGTTCTTACCCTGAACCTGGCCCTTCAGGTGTGTTAACTATTTTGTCCTTAAATGATAATGGTAAAAATTACTAATATAAGTATAGAGCTTTGTAGTTGACGGCATGAGTTCTTATATACGGTTTCAGTGATCTTCACACCCATCCAGAGATGAGGAAATGAACACTCTGCAGTCTTCTAGTTTCTCAGTTAGAGCCAATCTTCACATTTCTTGCCTTCGCCAAATTCTGTGCTCCTTTGCATAGGCCACATTGCTTCTTGGGAGTGTACAGTTTCCCCTTGGTTGTGAGTAGTGGCAAAGCGGGACTCCGGAGTTTGCATTCTTTCCTGAACAGCTCAGCAAGGGAAAAGGGCAGTTATGAGACTAGAAGGTGGATGAATACCGACTATGAGGATTAAAGCTCCCTGCTGAGGTTTTATCTTTTCTTTCCTTTCAGGATGGCAATGACACGGAGAACTATGTTCCAGAAGGGGGAGGTGCATAACAAACCATCAGGATTCTGGGGAATGATAAAAAGTGTTACCACTTCAGCACCAGGAAGTGAAAGTATCCTTTATCCCTCTGCCTGATTCTTTTTCTCAACTCTGGACCAAGGCCAGAAGAAAAAAGTAGTGTTGGGGTGGTCTTCTCTAAGGTACCTGACTGCATCAGAGTCCAGCTGGCCAGGGCTAGGCTTAGGAAATACAGAGTCATCTCTCCAGTGCCCCTAAAAGATCATAAAACCATTGTCTTTGAGCTCAAGAAGTCCTAAAAGTCACTCTTTCCATTTTACAGATGAGAAAATAGACCCAGAGAGGTTAAGTCACACTGTGGTTTGTGGCAAAGATAGGACCTCCTTTTAGTTCTTTCCTCTACACTATTCTATTTCCCAGGTCTGAAAAACTAGCATAAAACACAGTGACTCCCGAAAATGGATGGTTTGTATGTATATGAGCTGGTAAGGGCCCATTTCTAAAGCGATCGGTATTGCTAAACAACTTTTAAGCAGCACTGTATCTTCATTGACTTTTAGTTTGAAGGATCAAGGATATTGGGTTTAATGGGTTGTTCTTGGCCCAGTTGGTTGCAGTGTTTGATTCCCAGATTGAGCAACAAAATCTCTTTGTGTCTACCAGGCTATTAAGTCAAAATTGCGGGGGGGGGGGGGGGCGGGGGGGGGGCTGGGGTGAGATAGCATGTTCCTCCTTCCTTCTCTAGCCTGAGGGAAGTACAAATTCCCTTTTGCTTCAATTGGAGGAAAAGGATGTAATCTGTCCTTGCTATAAATTGTGACATATCTTTCCGGTGTCAAATGTAGGTAAGAATTGGACTGAAGAAAGGCAGGATGACCATGAGAGAAGAAAAAAAGGATTACATTGAATTCATTTACCCTGGAGACATTTATTTCATATCTTCTATTTCCAGGCAGAGTCCTAAGGGATAAAATGATGAACAGAGTTTGTACCCTCTCTCCTCAAGAAGCTGACCATCTAATCATGGGAGAGGCAGACATGTAACTAGTTAAACCCTGTTGTTTGGTGGCCTGGACCATCCCAGTAGCAGCCACTACCGAAGAAGGAGCCAAAGGGCACTATGGTGATTTGAGCAGTACAGGCATACCTCAGAGATGTTACAGGTGTGGGTCCAGAACATCGCAATAAAGCAAATATCGCCATAAAGTGAGTCAGATGAATATTTCGGTTTCCCAGTACATATAAAAGTTTTGTTCACACTATACTGTATCCTATTGAGTGTGCAATAGCATTCTTAAAAAAAAAAAATGTACATACCTTAGTTTAAACTATCGGTAAAAAATGCTAATCATTACCTGAACTTTGAGTGGTAATCGCTGATCACAAATCACCATAACAAATGTAATAATAATGAAAAAGCTTGAAATATGGTGAAAATTACCAAAATGTGACACATTTTGGTAGAGACACAAATGGTGCCCATAGACTTGTCCAATGCAGGATTGCCACAACCTTCCATTTGTTTAAAAAAAAAAAAAAAAAAAAAGGGGGGGGGTGAAGGGGCAGTATCTGCAGAAGGCAGTAGAATGCCTGCCTCTAGCAGAAAAAGTCACAGAGTTAGGGAGGCTCTGGACCAAAGTGAATCTTCTGACTTGGGCTATTTTCACTATTTTTTATGACTTTAAAGTCCATAAAAGCTTAAAGTTTAGGTTTAAGCTATCTTAGTGATAGTAAGTCAAATCAGCAAAAGTATCAGTATTAAAATTCTTTCCCTCTCTGAGCCCCTGTTTCCTCAATGGAGACAATAACAGGCCCTCACTGAGTTCTTGGAAAGTAGCATAGTGTAATGGAAAGAGCAGACCTTGGAGGAAGGCATATCTGAGCTTTACTTTCCTTATCTGCAAAATGGGTAATAACACCTATCTCATGGGACTTTATGAGAATAATAGAAGATCATGTCTATAAAGAACTAAAGAAGGAAATGTTTATAAATCCCAGCCTGTATTAAACTCAGTAGTGTTAATTCCCTTTCCTAACATTATATTTATTCAGATAATTTAGGGGGAAATTACGCTATATTATAGGAGTTTTACTATGTAACTATTTGAGATTTCAAGATTACATTTGACTTACTCTAATTAAAGAAAAGCAACAACAAAACCATCTGTCTGAGCCACTTGAACTAGTGAGAAACTGAATGGTAGGTATTTGGTAATGCTCTTGGGGGAGAAGCTTTTTCACACCTGTGTTGGAGGTTGGGAAAACTGCTCTGAAGGAGTACTGCTGGCCGTGAAGCAGGAAATGGAATATCCAGGCTAGGAGAAACCAAAAGCATATGATTTCTTCATTGCTATTTCTTGAAACTTCTATGTGATTTAAACCTTGATGCCCATTTTGTGCCAGATCTCACTCTTATCCAACAGGAAGTGGACGCTTTGGAAGAACTAAGCAGGCAGCTTTTTCTGGAAACAGCTGATCTGTATGCTACCAAGGTACAGAGAAAGGAAACGGAAGTGTGGTTTTTAATCAGTACGATTGAAGGCAGAACAAGACTAAATAGCTTTGTAGCATCCTCTATGGCCACCCAGCACAAGAGAGACCTCATAGCTCCAGTATCAGCCATGAAGCATTAAGAGTCTGTTCTTCATGACATTGTTCCTACCCCCTAGCAAAATTCTTTTTTTCAACGTTTTTTTTTTTGTTTGTTTGTTTGTTTTATTTTTGGGACAGAGAGAGACAGAGCATGAACGGGGGAGGGGCAGAGAGAGAGGGAGACACAGAATCGGAAACAGGCTCCAGGCTCTGAGCCATCAGCCCAGAGCCTGACGCGGGGCTCGAACTCACGGACCGCGAGATCGTGACCTGGCTGAAGTCGGACGCTCAACCGACTACGCCACCCAGGCGCCCCCGCCCCCCCCAGCAAAATTCTTAATGGAACGCTCTCAATAATAAAAATTAGTGGGATAGTCGGGCGAGGTTTTTTTCAACATCTGGGAAGATGGCTCACACCACCCCCTACTGATTCAGGGTCAAGATGGTAGCTCCTCTGGTTGCTTTTTATTCCTATAGAAGTTAATAATATTGCAAGAGTGATGCCATGATCTAGCCATGTTTTAAAGGATCCAGACCAAGAAGTGACCTAACTTTCCTCAAGTTAAAATGCCATATAATTTATGTAAAAAATGCCATATAACTGGGGCGCCTGGGTGGC